ATTCCAGGCGTCCTCCCTGTACGTTGTAGTTGGCTCGTTAGGTACGAGTGCGTTAAAAATGGTGGACGTAATTACGACACGCTTCACAGTATCGAATTTAGCGGCACTCTTCAGGATACCCAGAGTTCCCTCCACGGCAGGCTTGATGAGCACGTCTGGGTCGTCCTCTGGATTCATGGTTGGTCTGGGTGACGCTGCATGAATCACACCTTGTACAGTCCCATCTTCAAAAGCTGCATCAAATGCGTCTGGTGTGGTAATATCTTCTATGATCGTGAATTCAAGTTTGTCGCGGTGCTCTTGGAAGCGCTCGAGTAAAAAGTCGGCTTTGGGCTGAGAGCGAACGACTGCTCGAACATGCAGGTTGGATTCTAGGAGTGTCTTGAGGATCCATGCCCCTATAAATCCAGAACCACCTATAAATTTGTCAATCTTGTGACTAGGCAGTTGGCTTATAATATGACACATACCTGTGAGTAAAACTTTGGATTGAGGTTCTAGTGCTGGCATTTCGACCTTGAGAACGAATAAAGGAGCTATATAATGCTCTTTTGGCCAGCTATTTTATATGTCGCCACCATTCAACAAACCCTAAGAATGTATGCCGACCGGTAGCTATAAATAGACCGCGATTAATAAGACAGTAAAGCCTGGGTCATTTCAAAGCGGGAGTAGGTGTCTACTCCCGTTGAATCAAATCGAGTATCTAACCAAGAGTGGGGCCCTGAAGTGGGAATGTATATTGAGGCTGTATATTCATTGCTGATAGAGCCTCATACTGATCTTGTAAGGTTGGTAATCTTGGGGGTGTCGCAGGGGCAAGAAGCAGATCTAAGTGACGTGGCGCGAAGGTCGAACTATGGTTTCAGTACGTGTCCGCAGCTGGCAGAACTCGTTTGTGCCGAGATATCAACCCATCCTAAAGCATTGGATAACGTATGCATGCCGTTGATTTGAGAAATCAGTCATTTGTTCTCGAGTAAGCTGAGCTTGGATGGGTATTGGATGGGAAATTCTGTACGATTTTGCTATGAATTACTTAGTTCCTATCCTCACGACCATCTTACAATTGAGGATACCACCATGAGTGATATTTCCATCACTCATGACTATCTATGGTTCTTGGGCCCACCCAATTCGAATCGCATCGGCGACCAAGTCTTTGATCGTCTCTTCGGCAGGCCTATACGTTATTCCAAGGATACTTTTGGCCTTTTCACGTGATATTACGATCAAAGGCTTCCAATCACCCTTGAGCTTTTCTGGATAGCCTCGGATTGGCTTCATTCCAGGTATGCCGCTCTGGTTAATCACGTCAACTAGAGGAATAGTGTCAGCGATGTTCTGCATTCTATGTGCTAGTTATCCAATTCCACGTACAGCATCGTTGCCAAGTCAGCTCGTTGGCAGAAGCAAGGATGCGCTCTCCTCCAGCAGCAGGCACGAGAAGAGCCTGTACATGTAGAACGGCCAGATCTCGAACATCCACCATCCGCAATTCCATCAAAGCCTCTTGAGCTGTCAGTTTCTCTAGTCTATCGTGCTTGAGCCTATCCAGTAGGTACGCGTTGGAACCTTTGATATTGGCCGTTGTTTCGCTAATGATAGGCTTTGAGACGTTAGTTAGGTGAACAAGAAAAGAAAATGTACGTACACCCCAGATATAGCTTGGGAGCAAAGTGACCAAATCAAATGACGTATTCTCCTCCTTTACAAACTCCCAAGCAGACCGCTCCGCCAAAACTTTTGATGCTGTATATTTACTATACGGAGGCGCGCCCTTCCCTCTTTCTTGTACAGTTTTGACGGCCGTATCGTTCCATGACTCCTCAGTGTACGTAACGGGTGCTTTTTTGGGCTCGAGTGCGGCAACTAAGGACGATGTGATCTCCACTCGCTTCACGGTGCCTATTTTAGCGGCACTTCGGAGCACGCTGAGTGTTCCTTCCACCGCAGGTTTGATGTGCAAATCGGGGTCTTCGTCTGGGTTGGTTGTCGGCATCGGAGAGGCCGAATGAATTACACCTTGCACCATTCCGTCTTCAAACACTTCATCAAATGCGCCTGGTACGGTAATATCTTTTACGATTCTAAACTCGAGGTTACTGCGATGTTGTTGTAAGCAGTCGAGCAAGTAGTCGGCTTTGGATCGGGAACGGACGACGGCACGGATACGTAAGTTGGATTCAAGGAGGTTCTTGAGAGTCCATGCACCGAGAAACCCGGATCCACCTGCAAGCATGTTATTTTTGTTAGATTTATGAGTTGGTGGGTTGAGTTTAGTTGGTTTCGTACCTGTTAGTAATACTTTGGATTGAGGCTCCAAAGCTGGCATTTTTAATGTGCGATACGAGTGGAAGGAACGAGGTTTGTTCAAGGAATAGCCCATTTTCGTCAGCACGTCTATATATTGCCTCCCTACACGCATGGTGGAAGTACGGGCTATGCTTGCGAGGCAGGCTCCAATCTATTGAGTCGATACTTTGATTTCTGGCCCGTCGGAATGAATAGTAACCTTGACGGTCCAGCAGACGAAGGATGGTCGGGTCTAACAATCCATATGGTAATCGGGAAGGCGAATGTATACTGATTGTTGATTGTCCCCCATCTCGTCATACTGTCTTGATTACTGCGTAAAGGTCCTCCTTGTATCGGCGGAGGAGGCATCTATCGATGACGTTGGAGGCGAGGTCGAAGGTTCTTCAACAGTGACAGTCCACTCTCCTGTTGCATGGTTTATATAAATTAATAAATCATATATCACACCCTCAGCGGAGTGTGCTCGAATTTCACGGCTACAAATGGATATACAGCACGAGACATGACTCAAACTTTGAGAACTTCTGACACTGGACTTTAACTGACGACGAGGAATTAGACGAAAGGACAGAAAAGTACATTATATAAATGTATGAGTCTCGAGATCTATAGTCCAAGGTGTACAAATGGAATCCATGAAGTAAGTGAGACGTCTCCCCTCTGAC